GCGGTTGTAAAGGGGCCCCTAGGAGAAAATTATGGTGCTTAAACTTAGGTGAGGGGGCAAGAGGGGTTAATTCACTCCGGATGCAGTAAGATTTTGCGCCCGCGAAAATCCGATTGCTGAAATCCGACAGAGACACATTAACAGCAAAATTTTGCGGTTGTCTAAAGAGTTGTTAACGATTTAGTTTCGTATCAGTAGTTTATTTAGTATAAATTTGTTCAATTTGCCACAAGTTTCAAATTTTACAGAAAAAATAAATAAATAATTATTTCGCTGACTGTTGATTTGAATGATGAAAATAAAACAAATATTAATAAATAAAGAACTATAAATTTATTTATCGAAAAATTGACAAAACTAGATTTACTCAAAATTAATTAATTAATTAATTAACTAATTAATTAATTAATTAATTAATTTATTTATTATTATTAGTAATAAATAAAGGACTTTTTTGTCCGTCCAAATTTTAAATAAATAAATTATTATTATTTTGTGTCACTATAAATAAATAATGATAAAGTTTCCAAATTTAATTTTAATTTTTTGTTTTCTATTGCAATAAGTAATGTATGAAAATATTTTTAATAGAAAATATTTTGTTCATTTGAACTTTCAAAAATCATCATTGTGAATTATTTACTTCCCTTTTACTAATTAATTATTTAAGAAAAAAAATGGAAATTATTATAAAAATTGTTTTTGGAAAATTTTATACACTGAAAAAAATGTGATTTAAAAAAACTTGTTCTCTGAATTTGTATTGGTAAAAATGTTTATTAGTTTGAATTACTGACTGACTTTTTGTTTTTGAATTAGTAAATTTTACTAATAAATTAATTTTTTATTTACTAGTAAATTAAAGTTCTTATTTATAATTGATTCGAAAAATTTACTAATTAAAAAGCAAATTCAAAGTTACTGTGATTCAAATTTAATAATCATTTTTACTAATTCAAACTCGTAGATAAATATTTATAATTATAAATAATTCATAAATAAATCAGAATTATAATTTGAAGATAAATATTAATGTAAATATTTATTTGGTAATAAATATATAATCAAATAAATATTTACTTGAATCAAATAATTTTTGTTTTTTAAATCAAATAAATATTAACTTGAAACAAATAATTTTTATTGAAATTAAATAAATATTTACTTGAATCAAATAGTTTTTGTTTTTAAATCAAATAAATATTTACTTGGATCTATAATTTAAGTAATGAAGGCAAATGCATTTAAATAAAAATTGTTCGATTCAAGTAAATATTTATTTTATAATAGACAAGTAATCAATTGTTTGAATCAAATAAATTTTTTTCCAATCTACCCATATTTGTTTTTAATAATTGAACAATTTCAAAATTTATTGGATTGTTTTTTTACTAATATATCAAACTGCCAAATTTATTATTGTTTTTAAAAATTTAAATTTATTTAAATTAGATTATTTAATTTATGTAATTAAATGAAATTATTTAGTTTATAAATGACTCCTTTGTTGCTCAAAAAAATATCATTGGTAAATATGAATTTTTATGAGATAAATAATATTTGACTTAGAAAAATGGCGAAAACATTGTTAATATTTTATTATTGATAAATTTTTTCGTCATGAAAATTTGTTATTCTTTTGTTAAAATATTTATTGAGAGAGATAAAAATTTGATGTATAAATATGTGAGTACTTTTTGTGAAAAATTATTGTCAATTAAAAAATATGAATCTCTCAATAGTTATTCTTCTTTTTGCATTTTTGTGCTTGAATTTTCTCATGCCAGAAATTGTTGGTCAGTGTATATATCGTTATCAGCGATGTTCAAGAGATGATGTTTGTTGTGAAGGTAGAAGTTGTTCACGAAGTGGAGGTAATTTATTTTTAATTTTTGATTTATTGAATCATTAATAATAATAATAATAATAATAATAAATAATTAAATAAATTCTTAATAAGAATTAATTATACAATTAAAGAATAAAAATCAATTCTTCATTAAAAATAAACAATGAATTAATTTTATTTTGTATTTTTTGTTTTCTTTTTACAGGTTTCTTCTTTTGTGTCTAATTTAAAATGCAAAATTATGGATGTAAAAGAGAGGAAATGTTTAGAAATTGAAAAATAAAAATTGTAGTTGTAATTAAAGGGGATTATAAATAATATGGTACTTATAAATTATAATCAATGGTAATTATTATAATTTATAATTAACTGTGTTTTTAATCAAAGGTGGTTGTAATCGTTGATAAGATTTATTGTCTTAAAAGAAAAAATTGTCTCAAAGAAAATAAAAAATATTTCTCAAAAAAAGAAAATTCTAGACTAATTTTTTTTGGCTTTTCTAAAAAATTTTCATTTCTAATTATGCTAATTGTAATTTCCATGATCCATATCCAAAAGCAAAAAACCATGTACATAAAAATTATTTATTTTTATTCAATTAAATTTGAATCCAATTATTTAGTTTATAAATGAATTCCTAGATGCGCAAAAAATACCAAATTGATAAATATTTGAATTTATGAGCTAAATAATATTTGCCATAAAGGAATGGCGAAAAAATTGTTAATATTTTTTTTATTGATAAATTTTTTCGTCATGAAAATTAATATTTATTCTTTTATTAGATATTTATTGAGAGATAAAAATCGTATGCATATAAATATGTGAGTACTTTGTGAGAAATTATTGTTAGTTGAAAAATATGAATTCTTCAGTAGTTATTCTTCTTTTTGCATTTTTGTGCGTGAATTTTTTCATGCCAGAAATTGCTGGTCAGTGTATAGCACGTTTTCAACGCTGTACAAGAAATGATGTTTGTTGTGACAATAGATCTTGTACACCAAGAGGAGGTATAGTTTAATTTTTGTTTTATTAAATCATTTTGTATTTATTAAAAATTTGATTTGAAAAAACCGATTACTTGCTCTCTAAATTTGAATTTTTAAAAATGTTTCTTAATTTGAAACAGTTTCTGACTTTTTGCTCTTGAATTAGTAAATTTTACTAATAAATAGTAATTTGTTGATTTATTAGTAAAATAAACATAAATTGGTAAAATAATTCACTCTCTAAATTTTAATTAGTAAAAATGTTAAATTATTTGAATTGGTGACTGAGTTTTTGCTTTTGAATTAGTCAAGTTTATTAATAAATTTGTAGAAATTAGTATTTATTACTAATTTAATATTTTAAGACTGTTTAAATATTTAATTTATTATTAATTTATTTATTAAATTAATTTTAAATTGATTGAATTATTAAATTAATTTTAAATTAATTTATTTATTAAATTTAATATTAAATAGTAAATACTATTTAATATTTACTACTATTTAATATTAAATTACTAATTTACTATTTTTTTCTTATTAGGAATTAATTACTCCTTCTTAAAGAATCAATTATTCTTTAAAAACACATTTCGATGAATTTATTTCATTTTCTGTATTTTTCCTTTTTTACAGCTTTCATACTTTGTCTCTAATTTAAAAATCAAAATTATGGATAAAAGAGAGGTATGGAAATTGAAAAAATCGGTAGTTGTAAAATGTAAACTTGTAATCAATAATAGTTGTAATCAAAGGTGGTTGTAATCAATGGTACTTATATTCAACAATAGTGGTAACTGTAATTGTAATCACTATGATTAGATTTCATAATCTTGTCTCTAATAATTAATAAAAATAAAAAAATATTTCTTAAAAAAATTAAAATACTAGACTAATTTTTATCGTCTTCCAAAAAATTCTCTTTTCTAATTATGCTAATTGTAATTTCCATGAGGCATATAATGACGTATTTAAATAGTTTCCCTATTTACTCTCTGGAGTATTAATAAATTTTCCTTGTTTTCCTCTGATTGAAAAAATTTTGAAAAAAATGCGAATTTATCGAGTATAAAAGCGCGAGTTAATGAAAGAATTATCATCAGTTGGGTAAATATGAATCTATCAGTTATTTTAATTTTCGTCGCACTTTTGTGCGTCAATTTTCTTGTCACGGAAGTTATTGCATGTAAGGGGACATTAATAGCGTGTGATAATAATAATGAGTGTTGCACAAATGTTTGCAGAAGATTTAGCAGCAGTAAGTTCGCTTGTAATTTTTATTATCATTTCAATAATTGTAATTAATAATAATGATTATTAATAAGAATAATTAATAAGAATAATAAATAATAATAATAGTTAATAAGAATAATAATTAATAATAATAATAATAATAATAATAATAATAATTCCATTTTTCGAATATGTTTTAAACGCTAAAAAAATTTTTATTTCAATTTCGCATTTTTCTTTAATTTTAGCCCGAAGTTTGTGCGCATGATTTAATAAAGAACTGCTGCTGGAGAAAAATGAATTTAAATTGTAAAAAATTTGTAATGTAAGATATTATCAGTTTATAGATAAAATACTCTTCTTACCGCAAGTGTTTTAACTTCTTTCTACATATACACCCAGAAAAAAATATATTTGACTCAGAAATATATTTGTCTTTTTATTTGTTTCAAATAAATTTTATTTGATTTAAAGAAAATTTTATTTGGTTCAAATAAAAGTTCTATTTATGTTGAATAAAATTTTTATTTAAACAAATAAATAACCCTATAGTTGGCCCTGAGACAAATGTATTTTTCTTTAACTCAAATTATATTTGAGTTTAAAATAAAATTTTTCTTTCGCTGAAGGAAATTTATAAATTGGTGGATAAATTTGTTTTCGATTAAAAAAAAGATTTAAAAAAATTAAAATTAGCATTAGTAATTAATGTTTATAAGCATTAATTACTAATGCTAATTTTAATTCTAATAATTGAATGAAATTAGTATTGTACTTGAAATTATTTATAAAGAAAATTGGAAAATGTAAATGTAAACATTAGCTGCGAGGAAAATGAATGGAAAATTGAAACAATGAATGATTTCACGTTCAATTAATCTACATGGTCAAGAAGTTTGACTTTGTAATGTATGAATGTGATTACTCACATGTAGTGGCTGTCTTCGTCCCAGGAGATAATTTCCGTGACAACAAAGGTGCCGGAAGTTAGTGCGGTTGTCTTGGTCTCTGCGGTTGCGTTTGTAACAAGTACTAAATGCTTCCAATCGCCGCTGTCGCCCTGTTTCTGTGGCAAGATCAAAAGGAAAGCCGTGCCATCCTTACTAAATACCGGTGGCTCAAATTGATCCACCCAACCTTTTGACTCAGCATATGATAGTACCTTTAAGATGATAAAGCAAACCTCATTAGACCTTTGGAGAATCATTTCTCGCTAAATTCAAAGGACCGCATTGATATCAAAAAGTTTAATCTTGTTACTTTTTTTAAAATAACATTTTCGTCATTAGAGACGAAAAAAAAATTGTATCAAAATTTTAGACATTTTTTTTTTTAATTTTTTAATTTATATGTTTATCAGGGTTGCCACAGGTCAGAGAAATCAGGGAATTCAGGGAAAATTCAGGGAAAGTAGAATTGGTCAGAAAAATCAGGGAGGAGTCAGGGATTTTTATTAAAAGTACTGGAAAAAATTAAATGTTTAGAATTTATAAGAAAATTCTTAATTTTTGTGTCTTTTTGTTTGTCTCATAAACTATGAAATTACCACGAATTCTAAAAAAAACATTAAATTTTTTCTATTTCTGACAAAATTCTTCGTCAAAATTCAATTATATTCAGAAATTTTTATAAAATTCATTGTGAAATTCAATTATTTTAATAAATAGCAATATTCATCAGAAAAACTCAATTACTTTCAAAATTAATAAAATTCTTCGCAGAAATTCAATTATTTTGAAAAAATTAAAAAAAAAAAAAATTGTCATCATTTCAATTATCTTTATAAATGAATAGCAAAATTCTTCGACAAAACTATATTATTTTGAGAAATCTTAATTCAATGATTTTTAATATTTTACTATTTTGATAAAATTTTCCAAAAGAATTCAATTATTGAACAAAAATTTTGTTAATATTATAAACGAATATTAAATTATTTTTCAAAAAAAAAAAAAAAATAATAATTCCACAGGAATCAAATTATTTAAAATAGAATTTACATAACATTTTTTTGAAAAAATCAAATGTTTTAAATTTGGCATTAAATTCTTTCTAGAAATTCAATTATTTTCAAATTTTTTTTTTAAATTCTCGTCAACATTTCTATTATCTTTCTAAATAGCAAAATTCATCGCCGAAATTCAATTATATTCAGGCATTTTTATAAAAATCAATGTAAAATTCAATTATTTTAATTTTTAATAAATAACAATATTTCTTAGAGGAATTCAATTATTTTAAAAATTAATAAAATTCTTCCCAGAAATTCAATTATTTTGAAAAAATCCCCCCAAAAAAAATTGTCAACATTTCAATTATCTTTATTAATGAATAGCAAAATTCTTCGACAAAATTCAATTATTTTCAGAAATTTTATTAAAATTCTTTGCAAAAATCAATTATTTTTATAAATAATAGTATTCATTACAAGAATTCAAAATTATTTTCAAAATTAATAAAATCCAATTATTGTCAAAAATTTTAATAAAATTCATGGTAAAATTTCAATTATTTTAAAAAAATTTACTTAATTCAATTATTTTCATAAATTTTAAAATTCATTTTAGGGATTTCATTATTTTAATAAAATTACTCGGAAGAAAGTCAATTATTTTCAAAAATAATAATATTCATCATAAAAATTCAATGATTTTCAAAAATTTTAATAAAATTCATTTGCGAAATTTCAATTATTTTCAAAAACTGTTCTCAATTCAATAATTTGTATAACTATTACTTTAATAAAATTTCCCAAAAGAATTCAATTATTTAAAAACAATTTTGACAAAGTTCTACACGAATATTCAATTATTTTCTAAAATAATGAAAATTTCACAGGAATTCAATTATTAAGAATAGAATATGCGAAAAATTTTTTCGAAAAAAATCAATTCTTTGAATTTTTTTTTTAATAAAATTCTTCACGAGAATTCAATTATTTTCATAAATAATAAAAATCATTGCAGAATTTCAATTATTTTTTATACAATTTTAATATCAAATTTCTCGAAAAATGTAATTATTCTTAAAAATTTTATTAAAATTCGTCGAGAAAGAATTCAATTATTTAAAAATTTGTTGATAAAATTATGTATGAGAATTCAATTCTAAGAAACATTCAACTTTTCAATTATTCAATTAATAATTGAATTTTGAAGAAGTTACTAATAATTGCAATTTTTAGAAATAATTGAATTTTGTAAAGGTTTCAAATTAAAATATTTGAAAATTTGAATTTAGTCGTGCTTTTAATTAAAAAAATGGATTTGAAAATTCTCAAAAAAAAAACTTTAATCGTAAATTATTATTAAACATAATTGATTTAAAGATGAATTTTAGTTAAAAATTTTAGAAATTAAAAATAATAATGATTAAATATTCATTAATAAATGAAGTTATTGGTGTTTTTGATTGTACAATTAGGGAAAATTCGCAAATAAATGTAATAAAACATTTTTTTGAGTATCTAATAATTTTTAGAGTGAGTCAGAATATTCTTTAGGGTCTGGGAAAAAGTCTGAAAATAAGGGAAAAACAAAATTAAATTTTTGTGACAACCCTGATTAAGTAAGCTTCGAGGAAATTTTCTAATTTAATTAAATTCATTTTAAAATGTTGGGTTCTGTATATAAATTCATTATTTTTGTATTCGGAATTTTGAATTAAGTGCACTGAAAAAAAAATTTATTTGATTCAAATAACCGATTAATTAAATATTATCAATTAAATATTTAATTGAGTCAAATAATATTTATTGGAGTCAATTAAATGGTTTAATTCATATTTGCTTCAAATACTGAAATTATTGGTTCAATAATATCATTTAATTGACTCCAATAAATATTATTTGATTCAAGAAAATATTTATTTGATAAATAGTCAATTAATTGGTTATTTGAATCAAAGAAAAACATTTTTTTTCAGTGTGTATAAATGTTTTCTCTCAGTGAATTTAAATTCTAAATTATCACTCACCGTGGTGCAGTTCTGTGTAATGACGTCGCAGAGGTGAAAATAGGATTCATTTTGAACTCGATTCATCCAAGTTGCCGATACAATATTCTCAGTTGGAAAATTCACCGCGGCAAGAATGGATTCCCTACCATCTAGTTGAAGGGGAGCTTCTATTTCAATTAGAGTTGCATTTTCTATTAGTACTTTCTCTAAATCGACGTAGTACAATTTCACTGTTGGATTCGTTGTTCCACTCTGAAAGACAGAAAACATTTGTTTTAATTAAAAAACTTTTCATGATCGTTTCGTTTCTTTTTTTCACCTACATCTACAATTTATCGATTTTATATCGAAAAATGTTATTTTTGTCAATAAATAATTTTTATAAATTTATAAATTATTTTAGTTAAGTTTGGATATTTTTGAATTTTTTATGAATACTTTTTAATATTTTTAAATATTTTTTAATATTTTTAAATATTTTTTAATATTTTTTAATTGAATATGGAATTTTAAATCGAAGTTAATGTTTATAAAGTTATACAGGAATTTATTTTTAAACCCTTGAAAGTTGTTCTTTTAAAGAATAAGTAAACAGGTTACTAATTGGATTGTTGATGTTTTTAAAGAGAAGCAACTGTTTACATTGAAATATTCAAACTGCCTTTGAAGAATTTTCGACGAAAAAGTTCCTCCTTTTTTTTCTTTCCTCTTTTTTTTCTTTTTTTTCTTTTTTTTTGCTCTGATTCTGTTTCACTTTGGGATTCCATATCGCTCAAGGCTGCATTTTATCCACTTTATTCAAGTTGTGCTACATTTTCAGGAGAAACAATTTAGTTGCTTCTTTGAATTTTCAAGTTTGAAAATACACACAAACTAGACAAGCCATAATGTATTTTTATTATCCGTGTTATCAATTTTACCTCAACGAAAAAATTTGTTCAGAGAAAAGAAGATAAAGATTAAATAAAAAACGAGAAAAGTTTTTTTTTAAGATCTGGAATAATAAAATATAATATAATTAAATTTTGGAATTGAATCGAGAATTGAATATTTGAGTTTGTTGAATAGTTGAGATAATATTTGGAGAGCATAGAATGATATTATTACTATTATTCTAGTCTGTATACCATTATTGGCTTTACCATTGTCGACACTATTGAATTCAAGGGGAAATTGTTCGGGGAGTTCAAGTCGCGAATGTTTCTCGCGATTAACTTCTCGGATCGTTAGCTTTTACGACTAAGCATCCACTTTCCAGGAAATGTTCTCAGAGGGTCCTTTCCATTTTCCCCCCCTTTTTTTTTTTAACTATATACACTCTTTTATACATAATAATGTTTCTCTGTAAATAATGAACTTGTGGTTATTTTTAGCAACACGTCAAAGGATAAAGTGGTCTCGTCATTATTTTTCCTCCTCGAGTTTAAATTTATTTTGTTTCTTCTAAGTTCTCCTCTTCTCTTTTCACAAAATTGGTTATTAAAAACCAAAATAATTAAAAAATAATTAAAATTTTTTTTTAGTTGAAAAAATAGATGGAAAAATTTATTTTTAGTTTAAAAAATTTTAAGGAAAAATTTATTTTTAGTTAAAAAAATTTTAAGGAAAAATTTATTTTTATTTTATTTAATTTTATCGTTCGGATGATATTGTCAAGTTAAGCAACAATAGAAACGAAAAAAGATTCAGGACGCACATTTTTAATATATTTGATACGGAATAAAAAATTGTTGAGCGGAAACTAATAAAATTTCTTGAAAAGTGTCTCACATATTAGAAATGTTGTAAAATGTGAAAAATATTGTCTCCTATTTGCCGTAAGTTGTAAATATAATTTTCAAAAAATTCACGAGGATTATATGTCCACTAAAGGTAGAAAGTTGTAAAAGTAATTTTCACTTTGAAATTAAATTCAAGTTCGTTTTCCCTCCGTCAAAAGAAAATCCGTTTTTCTCAAAAACGAATTTCACCTCTAACGCGTCACGTTACCAATTCTCAGAAGGAAGCTGGCAATTTATTTTCCTTGGATATTTCTTTGTGAAATGAGTATAAAATTTTTTTTATTACTCTTTACTTATTATTTATTTGAAGTTCTCTCTGTTCAAAACGATATAAAATAATCTTTTTTGTATTTTCGTTTAATTTTTCTATTTTCTTTTTATCTTTGTATTTTATTTGTATTTTTGTATTTTATTTGTATTGTTTGTATTGTTGTATTATTTCGTACTCAATAATATTTTTTTTTTGACGAAAATAATTTTTTTCGGTTAGAGAAGAAGACAGAGACAATAGCAGGCTTCACATTCATCTACTAAAACCTACTATTTACTACTTTTTTTTAAGTTATGCTACTATTTGGTTACTTTTTTTAGATTTCAGCCACTAAAAGTTACTATTTATGTTTTTTTTGAGAATTTCCACTATACTTTAAATTCGCTAAAACTAGAAATTAAAAAACTATTTTCAAAAATTATAATCAAATTCTTTTAAACGATTCAATTGTTTTCAAAAAATATTCGAAATTCAATTATTTTCAATATCTATAGTATTTTCATAAAATTTCGCAAAAAAATTCAATTATTAAAAAAAAAAATTGATAAAATTAATACAAAATTCAATTATTTTCATAAATAATAAAATTTTCACATAAATCCAATTAATTTGGAATACCACTTTAAAAAATATTGGAAAAATTCGATTATTTAACAAAATTTTTATACAATTCCTCACTATAATTCAATTACTTTCACTAATAATAACATATTTTATGGAAATTCAATTTTTTAACAAAATTTTATTAAAATTCTAAGCAAGAATTTAATTTTTATAAATAATAAAACTCATCGAAGAATTTCAATTGTTTTTATTACTATTTTAAATTAATTAATCGAAAAAAATGATTATTTAAATTAAAACAATATTTATAAAATTCTTCTTAAGAATTCAATTATTTTTGAAAAAATTTAATAAAATTCTTAGCAAATATTTAATTATTTTCAAAAATTAAAAAATTCATTCCAGGATATTCTTTTAGATTTTAATAAAATTCTGCCTGAGAATTCAATTATTTATATAAATAATTCTTCGAAAGAATTCAATTATTAAAGATAAATATATAAATTATTCCCGAAAATTCAATTATTTTGTGGCATTTTAATAAATGTCTTTGCAAAATTCAATTATTTTCAAAAATAACAACATTTTTCACAGGTATTCAATTCTTTTGAAACATTTTAATACATTTTTTTGCAATAATTCAATTATTTTCCTAAATAATAAAATTCTTCTCAGGAATTCAATTATTTTTGAAAATTTTAATAAAATTCTTAGCAACTATTCAATTATTTTCACAAATAATAAAAATCATCTTAGGATTTTAATTATTTTTAGTAACATTTTACTGGAATTGCTCAAAAAATGTAATTATTCTTAAAAATTGTAATTTCAATTCCTCGAAAAAATCAATTATTAAAAAAACGTTTTTTTTTAAATTCCTTGGAAGAATTTAATTATTTTCAAAAATATTAGAGTTTTTCACAGGAATTCAATTATTTACATAAATAATTTTCCGAAAGAATTGAATTATTTGGCGATAAATACCAAAATTATTCCCGAAAATTCAATTATTTTGAGGCACTTTAATAAAATTCTTTGCAAAATTCAATTATTTTCATAAATAACAATATTCATCATAATAATTCAATTATTATTTTTACAAGTTATAAATTTCTTCTTGAAAATTCAATTATTTTAAAAAATTCTAATAAAATCGTTGGTAAGAATTCAATTATTTTCATAAATAATAAAATTCATAGCAGGATTTTAATTATTTTAATACAATTTTACAGGAATTCCTCAAAAAATGTAATTGTTTTTAAAAATTTAATTTCAATTCCTCGAAAAAATCAATTATTTAAAAAAAGTTTTTTTTTTAAATTCTTTGGAAGAATTTAATTATTTTCAAGAATATTAGAATTTTTCACAGGAATTCAATTATTTACAAAAATATTAGAAATTCTCACAGGAATTCAATTATTTTCAAATATTTTAATAAAATTGTTCACAAGAAATCAATTATTTTTAATACAATTTTAATTAATTTTTTAAAAATAATTCAATTATTCTTTTAGATTTTAATAAAATTCTTCACAATAATTCAATTGTTTACATAAATAATTCTTCGAAAGAATTCAATTATTAAAGATAAATATCAAAATTATTCCCGAAAATTCAATTATTTTGAGGAATTTTAATAAAATTCTTTACCAAATTCTATTATTTTCATAAATAACAATATTCATCAAAAGAATTCAATTATTTTTAAAAGTAATAAATTTTTTCTTGGTAATTCAATTATTTTAAAAAATTCTAATAAAATTAAAAAATCATATGATTTTATCACTTGGTTGTTTTATTGAATATTCTAATAAAAGTGTTTGCAATAATTCAATTATTTTCATAAATAATAAAATGCTTTTTAGGAATTCAATTATTCTTAAAATAATTTAAGAAAATATTACACAGACATTCAATTATTGTCAAAAGTTTTAATATAATTCTTTGTAAAATTTAATTTAATTTTTAAAAACTTTTCGCAATTCAATGATTTTTATTATCTACAATTTTTATAAAATTTCCAAACAGAATTCAATTATTTAAAATTTTTTTTTTTTAAATCTTCCTAAGAATACAATTCTTTTCATGAATAATAAAAATTGCTTAGGAATTCAATTATTTAAATTAAAATTTGCATAAAATTAGTCTAAAGAAATTAATTATTTAACAATTTTTATAAAATTAAAAAAATTTTTAATTTTTTTACAAAAATTAAATTATTTTTAGAAATAATTAAATTCTTTCGTAATAAAATTCGTTGCAGGAATTAAATTTATTAGCTGGATAAGAGAGAAGTAAATATTTTTTATGAAAATTAGAAAAAAGTCAGGAAAATAAAATAAAGAATAGAATTTTTTAAGTTTTGTCAAGTTTTTAAAACAAGTTTTTGTGGTCAAATTTAATTTTTCGATATTAACTACTTTTTTTACTACTTCTTGAAGTTTGAAAGCTACTTTTTGCTACTTTTTTAAAACTAATTATCGAGTGTGAAGTCTGCAATAGCAATTATATATAGAGCGAGAGAAAAGAAATGAGAGAGAGAGAGAGATCAAGAATGAAAATAACAAAAAGAAAATGGGAAAAATTGGAAAAACAAGTATGAAATCGTATTGAAAATTCATTGAGGGCTTTAACAA